CTTGGCTGCTGTTGGGTGGAGTGTTCGGTATATGTCTGTGAGATCAAGTTGGTTGATTGTAGCATTTAGCTCTTCTGTGTCTTTGTTGAGCTTCTTTCTGGATGTTCTGTCCTTCACCGAAAGTGGTGTGTTGAAGTCTCCTACTACTATTGTGTAGCTGTCAATCTCTCTCTTCAGAGCTGTTAGAGTTTGTTTTATGTATTTTGAAACCCTTTTAATATATTCTTAGTCTTCCAAAAAATGCCTTTGCCTTCCGTAAATTAGACATTAGTTGAATGGTGTCTTTTTCCCTAGATTAGTGTGTGGGAATATATTTAGCACGGTAAGTGGGTAAGGGTCCTGTTGTTGTGTGCTGTCGAGTCGATTCCAACTCATAGCGACCCTACATGACAGAGTAGAACTGCCCCATGAGGTTTCCTAGGCTGTAAGCTTTACGGGAGCACATCCTGTGTCCTTTCTCTGATGCAGCTGCTGCCGACCTCCTCATTAGCACCTGAGGGCTTAACCATGGTGCTACCACAGCACCTTAAAGAGTACTGTAAAATGTAAATATCAAAGTAATTGTTCAAACATCAACTTTTTGCCTAAGTGATTAAGAGTTTTTAAAACTTTTCCCAACTTTTTTATTTTGAAATATTTGAAACCTACAGAAGAATTTAAGTAAATTGTTACAATGAAACCTCTTATAGGCTTTCTCTAGATTTACCAGTTGTCAACATTTTGCCACGTTTGGTCTTAGGTCTCTCAGAGGAGTTTAAGTATGATGTGATGTCTGATTCAAATCAAATTAAAGATGTGTATTTTGTGGTGAATGTATTAATTAAAAAAAAAAAAAAAACTAGGAAATTAAGCTGTAGGCCCATGCATTTGTCATTTATTTAAGGGAAGAAAATTAGTTTTTACAATTTCAGGTAGCACTTAAACTAAGCACTAGAGATGCAATAGTGAGTAGTGGGAACTTGATGCCTGCCGTTGTAGTTTCAGGTGTAGTGGGAGATTCTGGAAAACGTGTCATGACTTTAAATGTCATAACATTCTTAGCACCCGAAGTTAGAATCTGATTTTCAATTCCTTTTCTGCTCTTTTAATACACTTGGTATTATAGAAACTACAAGCTTTATGCTTTTTAAGATAGCCTATTTTTCTGTTTTCTTGTCTTACATAGTTGTGGTTGCTGTACCTCAAGAAAGATGTAAAATTTTAAACAGCCAGGTTAGTAACATCATACTTATCTAGAGATAGTCTTTTCCATCAATCTCCGAATACATCCAGACTCAAAATAAACAAATTATACATGAACAAATCCCATAAATTAAAGCCAGTTATAGCACATGGTCTTTTTTTAGTGCCTTACTGACTGATTTTTTTTCTCTCTCATAATTCTTTTTTTATTTTATTTTATTTTTTAATTGTACTTCAGGTGAAGGCTTATGGAACAAATAGTTTCTCGTGAAACAGTAGTACACATGTTGTTTTATGACATTGGTTAACAACCCCACAACATATCAACCCTCTAACTTCTCAACCT